GTCTATACAGACAAGCACGCTTCAATTGGAGGAGGACAACATTGAATCATTTATTCGTATTCATTAGAGGCGCTGTCACGATCAACACTTACATGAAATAATCTTCAAACATTAATTTATATGGACCGCACTATCGATTCAAATAAAGATTTCATGCATTTTACTGAAATCTATTTGTTTTTTTTAGCTTTCTTATAGCTCTCAAAAAATCACCCTTTACATATTATACAATATACAATAATATTTATATAGAATGAGATACCTTGCTAGATGCTTTGTTGAAGTCAGTGTAGATAACAACTGTTCGATAACCATTTTTGAAACCATTACAGACATGGGTGGTGAGTTCTAGCAGGTTGGATAAGGTAGATTTGCCTTAACAAACCCCATGTTGTGAGATGTCAATAATTGAAGACACAGAAAGTGTTAAGTGATCTATTATATAAGCTGTAAAAACGTTACCCTTAGAACATAACTTTGCTATCCTCCTGTAATTCCCTATTGAAGATTTACTACCAGAAAAAGAATAACTTTTTCTTTAATGAAGCATTGAATATATTAAAAAATCAGCACATAACTTAAGTACACTAGTATGGATATTATCCGGACCGCATGAAATGAACTCTTAAGGGCATTAAGATGGTGATAAATAACATCAGCGGATATATGTTGCGCTTTTATGCAATTTTGCAAAGAAGGCAATCAACAAGGGCAAAAGCATAGCTGCGGGCTAGAACTGGTGTTCGGCGCATAACTAGATTCGAAAGTGTCATACACAAACATATCTGCGATTCTGTAACAATCACTAGATGCTTCATCTTTAATTTTCATAGATGATGGAAACTCAAAAGTCTTACGTTTAGAATTAACAAAACTATAGAATGGCTTCGGATTTGAAGTAATATTGCTTTGAATTCTTGTCATATATTTTTTTTTTGTAACATAACTTATTTAAAATACGGAAATTTTTCCGATTCTTGTTTTCAATTTTTAATTAAACCATAAAGCAATAGTACTAAATTTTCTGAAAGCAGAGTGCAAAGTCCTTGTGAAGCGGACAACACTTTCTTCAGGTTTCCGTTATACATTGGGCGTATTTTTAAGATTAATATAATTTGTCTTTTTTAATAAAGAACGAGCGTTTTTCGATTTTGAAGTCGATTCTGGATAATTAGGGTTGGCATAACATCTAAAGATAATTCGAGAGAGGAATGATAACCATCTTCGAGAAGAACGAAAATATCCCAGCGACTTAAAGAAAATTATGAAATGTCATTCAAAAATATTAGATCCAAAGTCTTCCTAAACATATTATGGACCATACTTATGTGAAAAAGATCCAAATCTTAAGGTTCATTTAGGAAACCATGATAATTATCTCGAGTTGAGCTAGGTACTGGTAAACTGTCATTAATATTCCATAATACACAATATAAATTGAAGCCGCCTACCACAACAATATTGTCATATGTTTTAATAATGTTATAACTGGCGACAATATAAATATTTTTATGAATTGAACGTATTTTAACACAACGAAATTCCATCGCTTCCGACTTCGCAGAATGAATTTCTTCCGCTGCAAGGTAGGTTCGAACACCTTATATTAGTACTTATTGTACTCCACCATCAATTTTATTTAAAAGGTCATCACTAACAACTTCAAAGTTATTTTGGAATTTTCTTATTCCGAAAATAGCGACGCGATTGGTGGATGTTTTCTGAAAACTACTATTATTAAGTTCTGAATGATGCCATTTTAATACCATTTATGCTCTACGGCTATTTATTCACTACCAAACTAGGATGCTAAAATAAATTCACTTAAAGTGATTACGACATCGAGTTATTTCATAAGAAAAAGTAATTGCTTAGCATAGATGAACTAATATCGAAATTTATAATTGACGTTCAATAAAAACGTGTTTGTAACTTTAAATTTCTACTTTCAGCGAATATTGACTAGTAGATTTATGAAGTAAAGTTACCTTATCTACTGCCTCCATTTTTTTAAGGAAATTTTTTGAAAGAAGTAAGTAGGAGTAATTACATTTACTACTGCAGTCATATAAAAAACGCTAACTTGGTGTGGGTTTTGTGGTGGAAGAGAAATTTCGACGTCAAGTACTGGCATTTACTACGGGGCTAAACGTCTCGCCACAATTCGCATAAAAACGATTTTTTTACATATCGTTGAAGACGGAAAAAAGAAAAGGAAAGGAAAGCAACGATTTGAAAGATGCCTTTCATGAGAGCCTGGAGCGTACTCAGGATCGTTTCTGTGCTTGGCGATTTTAATGCCCGTGTCGACAAAGTGGGTATTTTTGGTAAAACTATCAGAAAATTTAGCATCTCGACGAAATATCCCTAAATGGGTTGAGACTGATCGACTTCGCCGGGGCCCGAAATATGGTTGTCTGTAGCACTGAATTCCAACACAAAAAAAATATATCAAATTTCTTGACTGTCTCCTGATCGAAAAACACAAAACCAGATCGATCCGGTTGTGCTCGCCGGAAGACAGATATTCAGTATTCGTGCCTACACTCCGAGGACCCAACTCAACAAACGCAAGGAAAGTTCGACATCGAAAAGCTTATATATAATATACTGCAGTGATATTTTCTTCTCGATTTGCACTCCTGCTCTCTGTAAAAGAATTAGTCTGCCTACCTCAAAAGGTTTCGACCGACCATTACACGCGCGGGGTAGGATAGCAATATGCATTTGCAGACAAAAACGTAAGGGACCGAAAAGCGTGAGTATGAAGCGCTAGAGAATCTGGCCGACAATGGAGGGAAATTTTATAAAACGATATGTCTGAATGGCAATCCCCAATCGATGACGATGGAAAAGACGTTTCATTACTTGACTATGCTGAGGCTCGAAAAGCGATTGCTCGCCTAAAGAACAGCAACGCCTCTGGAGCTGACGGCTATTCAAGTATGGCGGTGAAGAGCTGCTAAGATGCATGCATCAGTTACTTTAATATGGGCCAATTACTGTGGAATTAGTTTCCTTAACACCGCATATTAGCTCTTTTGAAGCATAACAGCTTTTAGTCCTAGTATATCAACCATTGATCAGATGAATAAAGAAGGTACAATCTTCTATGAGAGTGTACCACTACTGCCGTATGCCGATGATATTGATAGCCCAGGCATCAACAAACGCACTTTGATTTCTGTTTTCAGACTGAGCAAGAAAGCGATGAAAATGTATGTAATAATGAACGATGTCAGCCTGGAAATCCAAACAGAATCACAAGTGAAGTCCTCTCTCGATGAACGAAAAACAAACTCTGCAAGTCGCTTACGAATTCCGTCCTGCTATATGGTGCGGTAGTATGGACGATGACTACCTCTGATAAGTCGACTTTAGGAGTTTTCGAGAGAAAGGTTTTGCTTATAGTTTATGGTCCGTTGCACATTGGCAAAACCGAATAACGCAGTTAATGGCATGATGAGCTGTATGAAGGCGACTTTGACATAATTCAGTGAATCAAGAAACAGCAGCTGCGCCTGCTAGGGCATGTATTCTTGAGGGATAAGAATACTTTATGCTTTGAAAGCTTTCGATGCAGAGGAAGGGGAAGACCTCTACCGTTGAAAAGACCAGGCAGAGAAGGACCTGTCTGTACATGGTATCTCCAAATGGCGCCAAAAAGCGAAAAAAAGAAATTAATGACGCATTGTTGTAAACTGAGCTCTAGTCGGCAAGCGGTGTCAACGCCAGGCAGCCGCCTGAAATATATCCAGTAATTCATCCCGTGGTGCTTTGTCGTTGAAAGACATGTAACAGAATGCAAAGAGAAATGTCTCATACATGTAATCCGTTACAGCTTATCCTCAGGTCATCTGTAAGTGTTTGACTAATATAGATTTATCTGATGTCCTACCTACCGAAGTTGATGACCCCCAACACCTTTCAAATATCCGTCGGCATATCAGAATTTTGTCTTTAAAAGAACTTCAGTGCTTCTTCACCAACCTTTGTTCTGATATCCCGGCCCACTTCTCTTTCTTTCGACCCTCATAGACTTTAACCCATAGAGTTTTATACCCCAGAGTACCTCATTGGCCGTAATACGTTTTACATGCAAGTCACCTGAATTAGAAGGAAATATACATACTAAAGGCCTTTCCAAGTCAGCACCCGCGAGGATAAATAATGAAATATTTAGAATTAACAAGCTTTTTCGTCTAATATGGCTCGCGTCTACAAGTGAACTAACTTCTGCTTAGCTTCATGCCTACTTATTCAAGAGTTGGACTTTGCAGACGTAGTTTTGGGTTTCCAACTATACTTCGGGTTTCCTCGATCCCACAATCAGCCAGCCTGCTTCGTATTCGCCCCCGAATGGATCGATGTCATTTTCGGAATAATGGCTTTTTACAGCAACTAATTCGTCCAGCGCGTATTTGTTAGCTTCTTTGCATCGAAGGATGTAAGTTTTTCGTGTTGTATTTTTTAAATTTGATTCTTGGCTTGCTGCCTTAAGTCATCTTTCTGTTCATTATGTTGTTGTCTAATATCTTCTTCTATAAGAGTTTAAATACTAAAGTCAAACGGTGTCATATCGATATTTCGATTAAAGGTATAGCTTACTGTGCTCTATCTAGAAATTTATACCGTTAAAACGTTAGTAATAATATTCATTAAACGCTCCACTTAGCCGTTCGTACGAGGAAGACCGGTGGTTATTGTCGAATGTTGAATATTTTTTTCATTGCAGTAGTGTACTTCAGCGGCTGATTTTTTCTTGTGCTGAAGTGGACTTGGTGGGATATAGCCACGCAAATTTTGTAAGAGTCGACTACGGCGTGATTATAGTGCAGCGGCGTTGCTTTTTTGCGTAGAGTGTACAATTTGCCTTCTGGCTTACATGTCTTTCGATTCGCAACAATACTTGACACGCAATTGTTAATGTGTGATCTTATCTTTTCTTCAAGCTATGGAATGAAAAATTTTAGGAAAATAATTCTCTCGTCTTTTTCAAGGCAAAATGACATTTAGCATGTGCTCGCCCGTCTGACCACATCTCGCTGCATAGACTTCGGTACCACCACCAACTCGTTATCGTCAACTAGCTTTTGAAGAATACCACTTTTCTCAAAATAATCGTTGTATATCTGCTTTTCTTCAACGTTTGTGACTGGATAACGGCTGAAGGCGTCTACATGCCTCATTCGGAGTCCACTTCAATGTTCTACTTGATAATAATATTCTTGAAGGCGTAATACCCAACAACAAACGGAAAAACAAACAAAAAATTATCCAGTGAGTGCAAAAACAAAACTGAGTGCGTCGCGGTTAAACCCGCCTGATCGAATGCACTCAAATGCCTATTTTTCTTATTTCGAGTAATCAACGCCCACACAAAAAAAGGCAAAAGAAAGCAACATGCAAACAGAAGATTCTCAGCAGTATTCAGAAAGCGGAGCAGACCGAAAAGTCGGCAGACAAACAAGACAAAAAAGGTAACAGCAACCAAACACCCAGCAGGAAGTCGCCCATCAACACAAATGAAAAGGAACAGGCAAGCGGTACGCCCAATGCAACAAAATAGAACACAATAATACAGACAGGACTAGATCGATCTATAAATATCAAGAGGATATCAAGCCTTATTAATAACACCAACAGCAAAAAAGTGCAAGTGAGTACAACCAACGTAAAAATCCAAGAACCTTCCAGTAGCAACCGATTTGTTTTATTAAGTGAGAACAGCGTAAAGAGTACAATGCGAATGCCAAACCACCACCAAATTACTTGCTCGGACGTGTCTTAAACACGTTAGTTAATAATATTACCAAAATAGTCGATACTAATAACTTTCACGTTGAGCCTTTAAAAAAGTTACCGTCAATGAAACAAATATTCAAACTTACAGTGAAAAAAGTTTCATGCAAATAGTAAGTTTTCTATCGTCGAGTAATAAAAATTATTACTCTTATCAACTGAAGAGCTCAAAAGGCCTACCAGTTATAATTAAAGGTATCGAATCCTCAGTCAAGTCAGACAAAATAAAAGAGGCTCTTGAATAAAATGGTTTCAGTACTAAATCGGTTTTAAATATACTTAATAGAAACCAAGTACATAGCCAATGTTTAAGGACTAGAGCCCAATGCAAGTCAGATAAAGAAAAATGAAAGCCATCCCATATACAAGTACAATTTAAAATATTTCCTACATTGTAGGGTAACAGTAGAAGAGCCACACAAAAGAAACAGCCCAGTGCATTGCACCAACTGCCAAGAATTCGGCCATACTAAATCCTACTGCACACTGCGCAGTGTTTGCGTAGCATGTGGGGACCTACATCCCACGTTTAAATGCACGTCAAAGAAAGATGATGCCACCATGAGAAAATGTAATAATTCTGGAGGTAATAACACTTTCAATTATAGGGGCTGCCCTGTATATAAAGATCTAAAAGTTAGGTTGGCAAACAATATACAGACTCACCGAAGTCAAATAGTAATTACACCTCAAATCCAATTTGTAGAAAAAGCTACGGATAAAACTGTTCCAAACGTGCAAAATCTGAATCCAAATATATTATCTTATGCGAATGTAGTGAAGAATGGTTCAGATAATATTCCACAGAACCAATCTAATGGATGTATAGAATCGATGATTTTAAACCTTACGCAGTGCATGATACATATCATGTCAAGTATGCAAGGCATGATTCAAGACTTGATTAAAGCCCAGAATAACAAGCTAAAAATCTACATGCAAAAAAATGAGAGTGCTAAAAATTTGTTTATGGAATGCAAACCGTGTGAGCCAACATAAATTAGAATTGGCACCATTCTTTACTGAGTATGCCATAGACGTAAAGCTTTTATCTGAAACGCACTTGACGGATAATTATAACTTCTATATACCTGGGTTCATTTTCTACCCTCTACACATCCTGATGGCAAAGCGCACGGCGGCACAAGAATACTTCTAAGAAACCACCTGAAACACTGTGTCTTACAAGCTACCTCTGCAACTTGTTCTGTTATGGCAAAGAGCCAAATCTCTCAGCCATATATTGCCCTTCAAAATTTAAGATCACAGAAAATCAATTGACGGAATTTTTTGATAATCTTGGTGATTGATTTAAAGCAGGAGGAGACTACAATGCAAAACATGTATACTGGGGATCCCGTCTAATAAACCCCAAGGGCTGTCAGCCATACAATACCATAATAAACAAACGTAACAATTTAGATTTTATATTTCCCCAGGTCAACAAACATACTGGGGCCTAGTGATCGGAAGAAAATACCTGACTTAATAGACTTTGCTGTCTCAAGAAAAATCGACAGGCAACTTGTATCAGCTGTGACAGTTGCTGAGTCGTTTTCAGACCACTCACCAGTTCTGAAAAAAATTTACGAGCGCCCGAAGATAGTTGCAGAAGAATCAAGACTAACAAACAGAAGTGAATATGCCAATCAGGGACCCAAATGGTAACTGCGAACGTAGTAACGCAAAGCAAATCATGCAAGCGGAATTTGTTGTAAACGGCCAGCAAAATCAGGTGGAAATTGAAATATCAAGCTTAGAAGTGGTAAACGCGATACAGAAACTAAAACCAAAAGAATCTTAAGGCCACGTCAAAAATGCTAAAAGAGCTACCAAGAGTTGCACAAGCGTTGCTCTCTGAACTCTTTAATGCCATTCTAAAACTAAACTACTTTCCAAACGCGTGGAAAAAGTCGCAGATATTAATGATAGCCAAACCTGGCAAATACCTCACTCAGGCGGCTTCTTACAGACCAATGTGCCTACTACCCAGACTTTCCAAATTATTTGAAAAAATTCTGTTATCAAAACTATCTCTTTTTCTCCACCGTAACAATGTGGTACCAGATCAACAATTCGGCTTACGTGAAAAGCATAGTACTATCGAACAAGTTAACCGAATAGCTAATGAAATTAGAAAGGATTTCGAGCTCAAGGAGTACTGTTGTGCAATCTTTCTTGACGTAGCACAAATGTTCGACAAAGTCTGGCATAAAGGTTTACTGTACAAAATACATAAAGCTCTGCCTGTTCAATTTTATATGATTCTTAAGTCATATCTGAATAACAGACAATTTACCATTAAACAATCTGAATTTATCAGTGAGGAGTATCCGGTAAAAGCTGGTGTTCCGCAGTGTAGCGTCCTCGGGCCTATTTTATATATCATATACCCTGCCGACATCCCATTAAACCGAAAGGTGCAGACATCTACATTTGTGGATGAAACATCTGTTTTATGCCTTGATAAGTGCCCTGAAAGAGCAGCAAAAATGATTATTGATCAATTACTCCTCATCGAAAAATGGCTAGAAAACTGGAGAATTAAAGTTAATGAACAAAAGTGTAAACACGTTACATTTAATTTAAGACCGCAATCATGTTCTGCAATTCACTTAAATGCTATAAACATTCCCCAAGTAAATGACGTTACATATCTCGGTATACCCTTACATAGACATCTCACTTGGAAGAGACACATAGAGGCAAAAATACTACACATGAAATTAAAAGCAGCTAGTTTAAATTTGCTTCTTAATAAAAACTTCGGTCTAAAACTATACTACAAAGTCCTTATTTACAACGCAGTATTAAAACCAATTTGGATGTATGGTATTCAACTATGCAACTAATATTGATAATATACAGAAGTTCCAGTCCAAAATTTTAAGAGCACTAACGGGCGCACTATAGTACGTTCGTAACGTAAATATTCATAAAGACGGTATTATGCTGGTTAAACCTGAAATTGAAAGAAGCTGAGAAATCATCCAAATCCGCTAGCTGACCCATAGAGAAATTCCCGCCTGCAGCGAAGAGATGTTCTCGCCTTCTAAGGAGAGCGCCGTAGTTTGAAAAGGTTTGATTTGAGATTTGTACACTTATTGTTAGGGTTATATTAAAGCAGATTCAGTAAATAAATGAATGGCGGAAAAAAGTTTATATTACACAGGAAATCATTCTCATTTTTGGACCGTATAATTATATCGTATATGTATGGCAATGCAACTCCTCGCCGAGTTAGCTCACGAAAAACTGCTGTAACTTGCCTTTGAAAACAGAACGGCACTTTACAAAACTGATATTGGCCACTATGCGTAACCATTGTTCAATTTGATCACCAACAATAAATCTTTGTGTTAATGGGAAATAGGTATTTCAAGTCGCAACACAATCTGATTTATAATTATTTACCAAATCACTTCTTGTTTTGCTACCCTACTAGCACTTTCTTCAAAACCGATCTCGTCAGCTGTTAGCTCAATGTTCATCATAGGAAAGGTTACTTCATTTTTAGTATTCATTTTCAATATAAACAGTCCGTCAGAATTGATATTGATTTTTGCTTGAGAACCAAACTCTTCCCCAGTAACTACGTCAATGTCCATGTACTTAGCACACACCACAAAAGAGCTTACGCGAAACATTTTCATATTTCTCTCGCTCAGCTCTTTGTGTGTCTTTGCACTGCTTACAGTTGTTTCTAATTCATCAGCTGACGCCAGCTTAAGTTTACGCCATGACGTTCACTTTGGATAATTAGTTTATCCACTCCTTTTAGAGATTTCTCAGCAGTACATATTTGCTGCGTTCGTCCCATCGTATCAAAATTGCTGTTTTTTTTATCAGCTACCTCGCTAGTTAAACCCAATATGCTTCAGATGGAAATCAAATCATTTGTCGTTAAACTTTTTTCGATATACGCAAGTTTCTCATTGAAACGGTCGTCATGTTCGTCAAATCCGAACCCCGAGAATTTACGCAATCGCTATCTGATTCGAATACGAATTTGTGAAGAGCAGCTATATTTTCCTTCTGGCTTATACGTAGCTTGTTGCGAACAAATTCGAATTTCTGCAAACACGCCATCGCAAAATTTGGAAGTCAACACTCTTTTTACTGCCTCTTCCTCGATAAAAAAAAAAATATTATTGGCGATTCCCCACAATATGTGAGTCCTCACGATTATGTGGATAATGAATACAAGAATGTTTTAACTTTGAATGAATTTTCGCCTATTATGGTTATCGTCGGCTAATATGGCTCGCGTATACAAGTCAAATAACTTAGCTTCATTATCAAGAGTTGGGCTTTGCAGACGTAGTTAATATAATAAATTTCAATATCATATTATATAATATAATATAAAAATAAACGCGTAAAGAGGACATTAGAACGGTAACCTTTGTCTTTTATAGACAAGAAATAGACATAGAAACTTTAAGAAACGGTACCAACTGAAAATATTCCAGAAGTGGATGGAAAACTGTTTGAGTTCCTTATCAGCGTGCTACGTAGGGTTGCATGCACGAACATGTTGCCCGCCTTGCAGCGACACTGCATTATATGATATAAAGTAAAATCAAAGGTTTTTCGCAATTAAGTTTTTTTACAATTTAGCTTTATCATATAATAAATACTTCAACATTTTTACAATTCATTTTTCTATTTCAAGTTTTTTAACCTTTACCTCTACATATGTATATTTTAAATTAAGTTTGCTTCTGCACCAACTTCGTCTCAGAACGGCGTACGGTCGGAGAGCATCATTCGGAATATGGTATTCAGTGGTGCTGGTCATGTGGTAGTAGCCGCCAATAGTCGGGGATGGAGAATCTCCGCGTAAACTTCAGTGCC